CATTTATATGATTAATGCTTCAATTTTCGGTGAATCAGCTCCCCAAACCACCCCTCATGCTTGAGGGTCATTTAAATAGATGGCAGACTCCCAAAGTCAGCCATCCATTTGGAGGAACAACTCCCAAGCAATGTCCATTAACCATATTTGGGAGTTGTCAACAAATCCTTGGGAGTCATTTTTCCAACCCCTTTCTTTATTGGATTTCCACAAAGAATTGATCTTTTTGAGCTCCTAAATGATTGGTTAATCTCAGCTACTTTTGTCTCCTCAGATGAACTGAAGGTAATTTGTACCAAAGCATTCTCAAACAGAAAACTCTCTTTCGAATTGGGGAATGGAAAGGAGTACACTATGGATAACTTCACACAGCTTCTCAAAACAAAGATCTCCTCAAAAAATCCCCAATATGAATATTGGAAAATCCTAAGCAGGAATGTGTTATCTGATAGGATTATCAATGATGTTAAAGCAGCTTGGAATTCACTATATAGACTCAAAAGAGACATTGGTTTTGATAAAACAAACGTTGAGAACTCTATAGTTGATTGGATTGAAAATTTGGATCAAGAACAAGTTGAAAATGATTTCAGGAATGAAAGAGAAATTGCCATAAAGGTTATCAAGCAATCCAAGGTCAAACTGCAAAAAAAAGTTGAATTTTATTTCCCAGATATTAAATCCATGATACACAATTCAAATGCTGACAAGCTGGAAAGATTTTCTAATGCCAGAGGGATACAAAATCTATCAAAAAAACATGAAGAGTTTGTAAATCCAACATTCTCAACAGTTGAAGATGTTATTAAAACATTGCCTCACGAAATTGATCTGAACACAGAGATATACCGCTATTTATTGATCACAGGATTTGAAGATGTCTTGAAAGAGATTAGAGAAGAAGCAGATAATCACCTCAAAGCTATTGCCCAAAAGCATGTTCACGATTTTCTCAAGAATACTTCATCTATAATGCCACATGTAGAATCTTACATAGAAAGTTTAAATGAAAATGATTTTGAGAGACATTTTGGATTGATTCCTTCAAAAATTTATCAAAAATTACATGAGGTTCCTCTCCGTTCAGAAAGAATTAAATATGCTATCTGTAAGAATAAACATTCTATGAAAAAAGAAGATGTTAGAGCTCTTAAAAATTTCTCATCAGATATCAACAAATTCAGGAATGAAATTCAGGTAATGATAGAAAGGTACATATCACTTGGTCAAATTCAGAATGTAGAAACATTGATGAAGTTGAAAAATGAGGCTATTTCCTTCAACCCAGTCAATCACCCATATGTTGAACATTTATTTTCAGAAAATATGATTGACCAATCTACAAAATTAAATTTGAACCCAGAAAAGAGGATTACAAAGAAAGAATTCTTGGAAATTGTGGGGACTGAGCAGGAATTTACTGCACTTTTGATGTCAAATTTTAGATCCAATCTAATCGGGAGAATTGTAAATATAAGTCATACACATGAATTCAAAAAAGAATTGAAAAGAAAGGCTATCAAAATACTTGGGGAAACATATGTTGAAGGTTTTGAATATGATGCCAAGTCATTCTATCTCACAAGGGATGCATTTGAGAAATCTGGAGGAATCCAATTTGAAAAAGCTTTGAAAGTCTACAGCAAAAAAGCCCAGAAAGAACTTAGGTCACAGCCAGACCTAATAAGCATTGCTGAAGCATTGGTGGAAGCCCATATTCATAAGGAAAATCAACCATTCTACCTTGAACAAGATGTTTCTCAATTGTTAGATGAAATGAACATAAAAAACTTGCAAGGTATGCAATTTCTGTTTTTTCAAATAAAGATTAATGTAAATTGATTTTAGTTTGAAAATCTTTTTACACTAATGATTATGAATTGATCTATAACTATATTCAAAAAGATTTTTCAGATAGAGAGGGAATATTTAGGGGACTTCAATCATTTGATGAAAGATTTTCTGTATTCTACCATACTCCTTTAGTAAGGGGTGATTCAAGATTGGAGGGTACCTCATTTGAGAATTTGACTGATGATTCTAGGACTAAGCTGAACTACATAGCAAAGATGATTTATGAGAATTTAGGTACATTGAACTCACTATATGAAGAAAACTCAGAACTTAGAAAACAAATCGCAAGGATGGAAAGAAATTTTTATCAAGACATTCCACAGATTTTAGAATTCATGCAAGTTATCCATAGTCATGTTCCAAATGTGGAAAGACCCTTGAAATCAGGATGGGATAGTTACTTTACTTTGAAAAATTTGAGCTTTTTTATGACTGGACCAAAACATTACTGATTTACATTGATGTTGCTCCTTTTTATCTTCTTTTGTCTTCATGCCATATTTTGTCAAATTATGTACCACATTTCAGAAAGCTTAAGATACATTTTAGGCCCTTTGCACTCAGATCATGCACCAAATTCCACAGTTCTAGATGCATGATTAGGCCCATGTGCATAGTGATAAAAAATTGGATTTCAGTAAACTGAGTCTCTCTACATGTACTGGTTGCTTTTTAGCCAAAAATGTCACCATGTCAGCAAAACTGTAACAGATAAAATACATTGTGTGTATCATGGAGAATTATGCAAATATGCATGGCCAAAAACCAAATCTGTTGCATCTCCCTGCAAATAAAAGCACATTGGTCAGATAGTTTTTTTATTGGGGTTTAGATACATGTAGTGATACATGGAAGATACATGGCAGATACTGTATCTGTTTCAGCTTTGATGTCAGCCTCTGTGTAAGTAACCTGATGTTTTTAGTGGTGAAGGTTTCTACTATGAGTGTTGATGAGTGTGTATTGTGGTGAGGTTTGTGGAAGAATACATTGCATCAGTGAAGAGTGAAACAAACATCAGAAAAAGAAAGAGAAAAAGAGAAAAGAAAGAAACGAAAAATAGAAAAATGAAGACATACCTGGGTCAGAGCAATGCTGAAACCTATAAAATACATGTATCTGTATTGTTCTGTATCTTTATTTGTTTTTATCAAAATACATTGTATCTGTATTGTATTAGAAAAATTGGAAAACCAATATGGGGGGAGGGTTATCAAATATAACCAAATCCACCATTATTTAGTTGACTGGTTTGAAAAAATTGTCCCTTTTTTAAAAATTTTGTTTCTTCATTTAACCCCTTTTGGGGCCCATTGATGAAAAAATCAATCCTGGGAAAATGGACTGGTTTCTAATGGTGAATTTCCCATATTTGATACCCCCTACTATACAAATATGGTTTATCTGGTTGCCAATACAGCCCAATAATATACAAAGATATTGTCTCTTTCCCCAATACAATACTTGTTTTTTTGTATTGGGCAGTTGGGTTGTTGAATACAGTCCAAATTGGCCAACAAATGTGTAGTAGTTCTTTGATGAAATACCTTTTTATTGTATCTGATTTCAGATACAATACCCAATACCATTTTTTTAGTATCTGAAGAAAAGATACAATACACTGTATTTCCCAATACATGTATTGTATTATATTGCTTTCCCTGTTGGTCAGAGTGAGAGGTTTGTGGAAGGATGAGCAAAGCAATCTTTCCACATACTCTGGCCCAGGTATACTTTGAAACTTGTGAAATTTGTGTGAAAGACATGATGAAAGGTGAGAAGCACACAGAGAGAAAAAGATGAACATAGACAGAAACAACTACTAGAACAATTCAAACCTTGAATCAAAGCTTCTGGAAAAACAATGTGGAACTACTCTTGGGATGAATAGGGCTTGAGGGGAAGTTTTAGGGGTTAGGGGTTAAGATTAGGTTTAGGGGTTAGGTTTATGGGTTAGGGGTTAGGAGTTAGGATTAGGTTTAGGGGTTAGGTTTAGGGATTAGTTTTGTGGGTTAAGGGTTAGGGTTACTGCTAGGTTTAGAGATGGTCTCCAGGTAAAGGTGTAACCCGGGGCTTGGGATGGGGGGTCATACCCATCCCGGTGCCCGACCCGAAGTATACCCGGGTAGATGCCGAACCACCCGGTTGTTTTCGAATTTTTTTTTTGTCACTGTCCACAGCCAACCAACTCGACCATCCTGTCATCTGTTCCTTTGGCAATCATGAAGAGAAAGCACAGTCAAACTCAAAAGCACCGCAATAATCCACCCACCCCAGATCCAACACCAAGAACTGTCATTGAAGTGGACGACAACAGCGACACAGGCGATGACAACCAGTCAAAACCAGGGAATTCACACCGTAGCTGGGTTTGGAACCATCTGAAACCGCAGGGAGAATTTGCTATCTGCCAAGCCATCCTCAAGAACGGCAAGATGTGCGGCTCAGAGTTGAAGAGAGATAAAAGTGCTAGCACTAAGAACCTCCACGGGCATCTGAAGAATATGCATCGCCTCTCCGATCCGAAGCTTGTGAAAAAGGCGAACTCGCAGATTGATATAGAGAAATGGGCAAAGAACTCAAAGTTTGAGCCAAAAGTTAGTTAACATTTCTCTGTTCTGAAGTGCAAGCTTTGTGACGCGGTCATGCACTGATTATTTGTTATTTTTATAGGTTGAGCTGAATAAAGAGTCACTCAAAACTGCTCTGGTATACTTCATTGCCGATTGCGATCTATCATTTTCTATTGTCGAAAAGAAGTCATTTCACAACCTTATCCGACTTGTGAATGAAGATGCAATGCCCTTGATGGACAACACCTGCCGAACTGGAATTTCGAACCATCTGACTTGGATGCATATGGCATCACAGGAGAATATCAAGATGAGATATCTTGCTAAACAGGATTACGTTTCGTTTACGGAGGATGCTTGGACAGCCCCAAATTACACTGCCTTCATGGCAGTAACAGCACACTTTATCACTGAAAAATTTGAGATGGTAGATTTAACCATTGCGATTCCAAATGTTCGAGGTAAGTCTTAGTTTCAAGTTCTGTCCTCTTTAGTTTTCCAATCTAATAAGCCCA